TCAAAAAAAAAAAAAAAAAAAAAATAGGGAAGTGGTTAAGAAAGAGAAGGGGAAATAAGTAGAATAAAGATATGCCGAGCTCAGGAACCTAATAACCTCAATGAATGTAAACATTATATGCCATAGTTTGAGCTAAGATAAATATCAATAAGAATGAAAAATGCGATGGGAAATTAGAGGAAAAGGGTGGGAGAGGGAGGAAAAGGGGAAAGGATTTTTTTTTTAAAAAAGAAACAAGCTGTGCTATCTATGTATTTGTAATCACTCCCCAAGAAAATGGTGAACTGCAAACCTGTACTTAACAAAATTCAAAATCATTACAAAAAGAAACCCATCCAACGCAGTAAAAGACTGCCTCACTCCTACATTAACAACCACGGCCCTGTCTCCGCAGAACATATTCCACTGTGCAATGTCCCTGGACCAGCTCTATTTTGCCCGCCCAGTGCCACTGCACTCTGGGTACCGCTCCCCTCTCCGGGGCCTGTATCTCTGTGGCAGCGGGGCTCATCCTGGTAAGTGACACAGCTCTGCTTTCCGGTGTGTGCTGTGAGGCTGTTGGGAGGGCAGAGGCTTTGCAGACGGAAGAGGAGGATGTGCAGTGAGGGAGAAAGAAGCATGGACCTCCTGCCTCAACAAGCCAGCTGTTATCCAGAGCCCCTGGGGCAGCGGTAAGAGCAGCGGTCAGAGCAGCCCTCACACCCTGCCCTCGGATTTGGAGGTTCAGCTCCAGGGAAGCGTCTTCCGGTTCCGGTTTGGGGTTGTGGGACAGCCCCATCCCTAAATCCCTCACCCATCTTTGAGACCAGAAGAATCTAAAGCTAGGTTTTTCCATTTTAAAATTCTTCCCTATGCAGAAGCAAAGCCTCCCTAGTCTTCTGGAGGCTGCTGCTGTTTACTGGTACTTTGAGCTGTGTGGGTCTCAGCCTCCTGTGTAGACTGTGCTTTCCCAGCCCTTGTTCTTGCACTTCCCCAGTCTCCCTACATAAAGAGTGGCCTGGCCCATGGCGCAGCCCCTCCCCACTGGTGCGGGACCTTGGAGGGAGCCCAGAGTCTCTGGGTAGCGCTATTGCTGGCGCTCTTTAAGCCATGCCCCGTCACCTCCCCTGTGGGTTTCTGAACAAAGGTATGTTTGTAGGAGGAGGGGTCATGGGAGCTGCTGGACGAAATGCAGCCCACGTGGTCACTAGGGACCTCAAGAGCATGTGACAGCGACTCAACCCCAGCCCAGGAGGAAGAACTCATTGCTGCCAACAGTTGGCCCAGCTGTCTAGGGAGCTCTGCTCCAAACAGCGCTGCTCCTGCCAGGCAAGTCTACAAAGGTCAGCTGGTATTTTAGAAGAATGTGCAAGTTATACTTCGCACAGTCACCTGTACCGTGTGTCTCTGTGAATAAACGGGCTGTGTTTTATTAAAAATGTATTTTAGACATAGTTTGCTCCGTGGGTGTATTTCTTATGTATCTGTAGGACTATATCATGTTAGGTGGGATGACCTTGTCTAGGATACTCAGTGTTCCCACGGAGGCCTGAAACTGCGTTTGGCCAGAGGGACAATCATCCACAGTTGTTGGGCCCCACTACTGTGTGGAGGACATCTTAGCTGAGGCCCAATCAATGCTGCCACATTCCTGTCACCATAAAAATGTACCCACATCCCCAGTAACTCACAGTCACCACGGGCATGACCCGAACAATACAGGGCATCTCAAACCATCAAACCTTCCAGTCTTTCAAACAGCAGTCAAGGGTAGCCAGCAGATGGCTTCAGCTAAGTCTGCATGGGAGCCCAGCACTGACAACTCCAGAGCCTCCAGCCTCCCACTTCCTATGACATAAATGTTCTGCATCACTAGACCTTCGGGGTAATGTATGGCATTCCAGAGTGAGTCGGATTGTCATTCTCGGTCAGAAAGGAACATAAAATATCCACCTGGCAGTGCAACTCTCCTGGGTTTTCCAGCTTCAGTAGCCAAGGCTGCCCTTTTGAGCATTCCCATTTGTAGCTGAGGCAGAAACTTTCCAGGAAGCTTCCTTTTCTCCAGGTAAAGTTACACAGGTAGAGAGATATCCACCTCCTTAATGTTGGGTTTCTTGTGGGTTGAATGGTTTTAAAAATCAAATAAAACAACAGGTCATATTTTAGCCCAGCATCTGGCAGCATTCAGTACCCAGTGGAGATGCTGCTACTAATATCATTGGTGATGGGTGTTTTGTGGTTTTTGTATTCTGCAGAAGGTAGCCTTTCCCACCCAGAGTAGAAACCAGTCCCCCGGAAGCACTGATCAGGACAGCCTACAGCGATCTTTAGGTCCACCAAGTTTTTCCCAAACTAGGGCCCTCCTCGCCATTTGACTGGGTTGCAGCTGACCTCTTGAGCTTGTTGAGAGTTTGGTTTTGGTCAGGATTGCTTGTCCTTTGAGATTACTTCTCTCAAATGACTTCCCATGACCAAAGTGAAATAAAAGCTTGGAAACAGAAAGGCAGGAAGAAAGAAAGTGAGGGAGGAAGAAAGAGGTAGAAGGAGGGAAGAAGGAAAGGGGAGGGAAAGGGTCCTGAGGTCCAAAGCTGACCAAATCTTCAGTAAGAGGTGGTTAATATTCTGGCAGGGCAGTTGCCTTGTTCACATCTCCTTTGGCCTCACAACAACCAATCCCTAACATAGGCAAGAGCAGAAGTAACAAGTGGGGTCCTGGGAAATCCCCCAAAAGGCTGGGACGGACCACGTTAGACTTGGTCTTTTGAAGTATTGTGAGTGTTTTTCCAGTAAACAAGAGTCCCAAAGACAATGTAAGAAACTTCAAAAAATATAACAAAAAATTCACACAAAATCTCAGAGATAACCACAGTTACCATTGTACGGTATTTTCAATTCATGTTCTCAGATCACATTCTGTATTGTACATAGGTTTTACATCTGTCCTTTCATCTTCATGTCATAAGCACTTTTCAGTGTCAAAAAAATTATTCGAAAACATTATTTTTAATATCTGCCTAAAATTCTCTTGTAGGGAGGAACCATAATTTATTATGAACATTTTTGAGCTCAGCCTTGTCCTTGATTGCTAATTAGCAACAGTCCAAACTCCTTCAATGCCTTCCTTCCATGTCTTGGATCATGAGAGTGCAGCTGTGGTCCAGGCAAACATTCCTTCCTACAGAAGAGAACTGGGAGGTGGTCTGGGGAGGGGAGGAGCTGTCACAGCACCAGGAGGAAGTTTCCCACTGTTTGGTGATTTCCCATCATGTGTCTGAACTCTGAAAGATAGCAGTCAGTCCAGATGGTGGGGCGGGATCAGGCCTCCCGCCATGGGGTGCCTCAGCCTCACAACCCCTGTCGTGCCAGCCTGCTGAGCAGGGTGGGTTAGTCTTTCTCTCAGTGATGACTCCACAAATTGGTCATGAATCAGGCAAATGGGTCCCTTGCTAATTCCAGCACATAAAACTCTTACAAGGATAAATAAGTCAGGGCCACATCTTTACCTAATTTACAGTTGCCTGTTTCCCCAAAGCAGGAGGGAACGCTTCCTCTGAGGAAAGATCCTGTGAGAAGCTGACATGGCAGCTCACCTGGCTAAGTCATTACGTCCTGCAGCCAGAACTCCTGCACTGATGGCCCTGAGAGATGGAGACCAGAGGCTCAGTGACACCTGAGGTTTACAGCTCTGAGAGGGATTCTGCCATCCTAGTTGGGAAAATGACAGAGCAGCCTGATCAGCTGCAGGCCTTGCAGTTTGCAGAGGAGTTGACAACCATGGAATTCTTCTGCTGGACATCAGTGTCACCCACAGTAAAGCTGGGATGCAGGAGTGGAGACAAGCAAAGCACAGGAGGGCATTTGGTGGAGTTGTAAGGAAATATGAAGTTACAGGAAGTAATTCTAAAAATAGGGACAGAGACAGACAGAAACACAAAAATTCAACCTCGCTAGGACTCAAGCAAATGCAGCTAACACCAAATGATCACAATTTACCTGTACAATTTAGAAAATTTATGCATAACAAAAAATCACCAGCACAGGCAAAAAAGAACTCTTTTTCCTCTGTTTCCTTTTCTCATCCTCTGTTATCAGTGGTACACATTTGTATTTCACAATGGAGTCAAAAGCCACTGTCCATGTGTTTTGTTGGGTTATTCTGCTTCTTACATAAGGAAAATATCAGTGTTGTCTCCAGTGATTTAGGTACAGGCAGATTCATGCAGTGTTATTTGTAATCCAAAATATTGGCAACAGCATAAATATCCCAGAATAGAGAATTTATTTAATTAATCCTAATAACTGCATTGATGGAATACCAAATAGTGATTTAATATTTACAGTTTTGAAAATATTTTTTAATCACATAGGAAAATGCTAATAAGAACTGAGATGCGGTAGAGTCCCAATTTTGTTAATTGCTGATGATAGAAGCATATCTCATATATGTGATACATGTACATATATACACACACACACACACACACACCATACATATACAGAGAGAGACAATCAGAAAGAAAGGCAAAGATGGAGAAGAACAGAACAGTGTCAGGAGTAGCCTAAAGTCTGGGCAACTTAGTGGCAGTTTGGAAAATGTTCCTTACTACCCTCATTAACCCATCTTAGCTTAAAAAGAAATGCAAAGTAAATAGATGTAGCTTTAAAACTTTAACTACCTAGGTGACCTACTCCAAATGATTTGGGAATGACTTGTGCCTCAATGTATCTGTTGGTCAGAAATCAGAGGATTTCAAATATGGTTATAGGTTTTAGAAACCTCTGCAGAAGGGTGAGGTCTTTACTTGCCTAAAGTTCATGTGGCATCATAGAGGGGGAGGCTGGCATGGTCTCAGTGTTTCAGAAGCCCAGCAGAAAGCCTTGGTCTTGGAAGGAGGCTGCAGAGGTCAGCCCAGACCTGGACTTCCTCTAGCTTTATCTGAATTTTATCAGCTCTATAATGCAAGTTGTTGGGTCAGCAGTTCTGCAGCTGGTTAGATGTATCTTGATTAATAAGAGAATGGGAAGATAAATGATACTGGGAAAAGGACATTTGCTTAGTAGGCAGAAATCTTATAAAACAATGCTTCCCTTAAGAAAAAGTAATAAAAGTATCTGTAACAGCAATAATGTGTTTGATCCAGAGCTCTACTTTGTCCCTGCACTACTTGGCCTTTCCTCCTATTCAATCCGCTAGGACCTACAGGGAAATGTAAATGGCACAAACACTGTTATGTACAAGGGGATGGTGCTGCCTTCCTTAAAGAGGTTATATATTACATGTAACTTACCAAATTATGTAAACCACATGATTGTATGAACCAGCTGACGGGAATGCTGACATTGCTCACCAAAAGACGCACACAGGTTGAGTATCCCTCGTGGGAAATGGAAGTGTTTCATATTTCAGAGTATTTTATATTTGGAGATACAGGCATAAGCTTTGGTGGTTGAGCATGCTTAATCTAAAAGAAATCTGACATATGAAATGCTCCATAATCTGAAACATTTTCAGTGTCAGAGCTCAAGAAGTTTTGGATTTCAGATTTTCAAATGAAGGATTCTCAATGTGTACCAGTCTGCTTACAGCAGCAGTGTTGCCGCCAAACTGGAAATTACTCGAAGCACATCAATGATAGAATGGATTAGCACACTGCAAGCGTATGCAGCATTGGGCCATAGGGATGGACACCTGAGGACCATGGCAACAAAATATTTCATGCTGAAGGACTCTTATTTATAAACTGGACCAAAACAGGCTAAAGTAGTCTATCCTTTTAGAAGCTTCCCTCTGAGAGTGTTAAAGTCTAGAAGGGAGGCTGAGAAGGGCTTTGGGGCACTAGTAATGCCCTCAATTCTATCCATGTAATGGTTACACTCCTGTGTCCACTTTCTGAAAAACTGAACTCTACACTTGGGATGTTGCTCTCCGTACAGATATTATATGAAAATTAACAAGTTGGTGCCTGGAGTATAATGATATTACTTACTAGCATCGTTACTATACAATTATCATATACTAGCGAAGCCTTGTGTCTGAATCTAGACTAGTACAGAGAAATAAAGAAGACAAGTAAAAAAGGAAGAGAAAGACCCAGGACCCAGTGAGCAATCCCTTAGTGCCCCCCATCCATGATCCCCACTTGCTAGAGTCCTGGCTTTTGTGTAAACTCCTCCATCTGAGTGTGAGTGAGACCCTCGACTTGCTTCTAATAAACAATGACAAAGACAACGGGACATAAACAATTATATTACCTACTTTGCAAGATTCTCACCCCGGCTTTCTGTTCCACCCCGGGGAACCCCAAGTGGCATGGAACTGCGGCAGCCCTCACATACCTGAAGCATGCACTGCGCACCTGGAGAACTGGGTGCTGTCAGCACCGTGTGAGCAGGGATGTGGGAGCAACCCCGGGCAAGCTTCCAGACAAGAATGTAGTCAACTC